CTCTTCGCCCCGCGGCCCTCTCGGCCCCGCCCCTGGCCCAGTGGCCTGCCGTCAGCGCGCCGCCCTGTTGGTAAAGGGGTCGGTGGCCGCCATTTTAGTAAAGGCCCGGTTTTTCTTTCGCTTCCTTCATTCATTCTTCAGATCTTTATTGTGAGGCTTTGGAAGGCTGAGCACCCAGCTAAAAGTTCGGTGGCTCAGAAGTTCTGTCTCGTGGAGTTTATATTCATTCCGTCCCCCAAAAACTTTAGTCCTACCGTAGCCAGAAGCTACTGTAAATGCTAGGACTAGAGAAAGTCCCAAGGACAAAATTAAAACAATTTAGAGTAAGGATGCTAATTGGCTTTATTTTCAACTCTGGAATTAGAAGACACTTCATGCTATAAAATAGAAAAGCATTCCAACTAGCTGAGCAGCAAGGATTTGTTTTGGAGATAGAAAAAGGGCTGAAGAAAGCAGAAACAAGGTTGTTTCAAAGTTACTTTCCTTGTAAGGCATGGATAGAGAGGCAGAACGATAAAACTGATAAACATCGGGTTACTTTTTTGAGTCACGCCCATGTTTGAGAAATGTGATTGTTTCTCTCTAACCCTGATGGTTCATAGTCAGATAAACAGCTTAGTTAAAGCTTGGTGGAGTGGAACTTTACCATGAGTGACTCCATTTTTATTTTTAGCCTGATCTGTTGGAATGCAAGTACAGGAGCCTAATATAAAACAGCGGCCTCCTATACTTTTATTTAATAAGAGGCACCCCTTGTCCTGAGGAAGCAGACGATCGAACACATGAGAAAGTTAATTATAGAGAGAAGCGATGTGGCTGAAACAATCAGGGACTTAGATAATGGCGAGGAAAGATGGAAATGTCACCTGTGGATAAAGTAATGGAAAGCATGATCACAGCCAAAGGAACAGCAACTACGAAAGCTCAGGGAGGGAAAGAATATGGTAGACTCTTGTTCCTGTTCACCAACCCATTTTACTTGTGTAAGTGTTGATTTTAATAGTGTCAGACTATTTGCATTTTCTGTATATTGTTATTCTGAACTATCGTATCTTAGTTTTTATTTTGAAGCTATGTTATTTGGTACAAATAGATTTTTTATGTAGAACTAGATTCTTTTTGTTTTAAGCAGAAATTTTTATGTAGCCTAGGCTTTTTTTTTTTTTTTTTTGCCTTTTAGTTTTGGGGGTTGTTTTGTATTTTATTTTTTGAGACAGGGTCTCACTATGTAGTTTAGGCTGGCCTTCAACTTGGGGTGATCCTCCTGCTTCCTGAGTGCTGGGATTGCAGGCAGTTGCCACCACATTAGGCTGGTTTTGGGGGTTTTTTGAGACAGTTTTTTTGTTTTGTTGGTTTTTGGGGGGTACTAAGAATCTAACTCAGGATTGTGCTTTCAAGGCAGGAGCAGTGCCACTAAGCTACATCCCCCGGCCCAGATATAGTTTTATTATATAGTTCAGGCTAGCTTCGAACTCACTATGTAGCCCAGGCTGGCCTCAGATTCATAGTGATCCTCCTGCCTCAGCTTCCCAAGGGCTGGGATTATAGGCATGCACCGCCACACCTGGCTATTTGAGGGGAAGGGAGAGGACGGTAAAGTAAAGAATTAAGACTCCCAGTGATGAATGTAATCCTTTTTTGACAACAAACATATACCAATAAAATTTTTAAATGTTTTAAAATAAAAATATTAAGAATGAAAGAAGGCTAAAAAAATAATAAAAGGGGGCTATATATTGTTAAAAGGGCAGTGTATCAAATCTGAGATTTTTTTGCAGTGTTCTTTTGCATGACAACAGTTTTGTCACCTTTGTTTTTGAGGAAGAAGAGCAATTTTTGTTAAAATTTGCTTCTGCTTCTGCTTATAAGTACCAACCAAAGGCTGTTGCACCTAGCACACACAGTGGTTCTATAAATATGTGTAAGTAAATAAACCTCTCCTGTGTCTTACCTTCCTCCCCTATAAAGCAGATAATGGGGCCAGGGATTTAGCTCAGTGGTTCCACCATCTGCCTTGCAAGCTCAAGGGCCGGAGTTCGATCCCTGGTAACAAAAAAAAAAAAAAAAGAAGAAATTTTAAATAGTGTGCCATTTGTAAGCCTAGCACTCAGGAGGCTGAGGCAGAGGATCACTTAGAGTTCAAGACCAGCCTTTTTTTTTTTTTTAAGGACTGGGGATGTAGCTCAGTGTGAAGGCCCTGGCTTCAGTCCCCAGTACTACAATCAATAAGTAAATAAATAAGAAATAGTGTCAAAAAGCAACCCAAGCAGCTGAGGTTGAGCCCAAGGAAGTACCTTCTGCAGATTGGTGCTCAAGCTTGTGTGTGATCAGAGCCACCTGCAGGCGTGTTTAACCGGGACTGCGCGGCCCTGCACAGGGCTTCTCCTTCTGTGGGCCTGGGGTGGGGCTTGACTGCTGTCTAGCAAGTGATGCTGCTGCTGCAGGTCCACAGACCACCTCTGGAAACCACTAATATAACTCCCGTCAGAAGACAGAATCACAACGAATTACTTTAAAGATCTTAGTTGGCTTTATTTGAGTTCCTAGAATCAGACAACACCTCACATCGTAAAATAGTGTTCCAATGAGGAGAGATCAGAACAGGTTGATATAGACAGAAAAGAGGAAATGAGGAGGACCGAAACAAAAAGCAGATTGATCCTTTCAAAGTTATTTTCCTATAAAAGTTAAGCAAGGTAGACTTCCTTATGCCAACTAAAACTGGCCTGTGGGAGAACCTGGCTGTCCCTCACTCTCCTGGTTCCTCAGAGCATCAGGTAAACAGCTTAGTTTCGCCTCGGTGACTCAGAACTTCATCGTGAGTAACTCCGTTTTGGTTTGGTGTAGGGCTTAGTGCAGGAGCTCAGCCAAACCAGTGGCTTCCTGCAAATTGTATTCAGTACCCATCGCCACAGAAAGGAACCATTTGCTCATTCTTTTATCAGATGCTTATTGTTGCCTACTAAGTAGCAATCACTGTTCCAAGGATCCATTTTTTTTTTTTTTTTTTTTTTTTTGTATCAGGGATTGAACTTGGGTCCTTGCGCTTGCAAGGCAGGTGGCAGAACCACTGAGCTAAATCCCCGGCTCAAGGATCCATTTCTGAGCAAAACAGACATACTTGTGCCCTCATGGCATTTAGAGGCAAGTTTTTCGGGTTTGGTTTGGTTTTAAGACAGGGTCTTCTTATGTAGTTCAGCCTGGCTTTGAAATCACTATGTAGCCCAGGCTGGCTTCAAACATGCCAGTGATCCTCCTGCCTCAGCCTCCCAAGGTAGGATTCCAGGCACATGCCACCATGCCTGGCTGAGCCAAGTTTTTTGTTGTTGTTGTTGTTTTTTGTTCTTTTAGTGTTTAGCAGTGATTAATCACTTAGAATTGTGATAAAAGCAATGGAGGAAAATTACAGACCACCATGAGATAACACTGACATACCTGCTATTTTAACCAAGCAATGAAAGCCAGTCTGGGGGCTTGAGATGGGGAAGAGGACAGGAGGGGACATTTCTTTCAGCTGTGGCCTGAAGCAAGTTGGAGTCTGACAGCCAAAGAGAGAAGAAATCCTAGGCAGTAAAAGTAGCACACAGGACAAGGCTGAGGATTTAGCTCAGTGGTCCCACTGCCTGCCTCTCAAGCACAAGGTCCCGAGTTCAATCCGCAGTACCAAAAAAAAAAAAAAAAAAAAAAAAAAAAAAACAAAAAAAAATGCCAAGGACAAAAGTAGCATGCAGGAGAGAGAAGCCAACTCAGCCAGGCACAGTTACATAGACCTTTAATCTTGGCAGTCTGGGAGGCTGAGGCAGGAGAATCACAAGTTCAAATCCAGTCTGTCCAATTTAGTGACTTTAAACCTGAGGCTAGGGGATATAGGCACTGGTAGCAGAGCAACAAGAGAAGCCAGCTCAGCAGGTAAACAGTTGAATCAAGATTGAAACCAAATCATCTGTCCTTTCTTGGCTGAATGAATTTTAATGGAATAAGTGAAAACTTTAGCATGAGATGCATTTGGAGTATTCGGCACTTCCATTTGTGACTTGGTAAGTCTTGGTTTCTTCTCTGGGTTCTTGGGTGAGATGAGAGGAATTCATCTCAGGCTCACGTAAAGATCTGCATTTAGCTCCCACTCCTGAAAGCGGGCTTTCAGAGGTAGGGTGGCTTCGCACCGGCTGTGGTAGCAGGCCCGGCTCCATTCTTCTGGGATATTCCTGGTTCTGCTCGTGGCTTGTGCTCGGGGTGGCTCCAGGAGCAGCAGGGCCCAGACTTCCCCCTTCACATCCAGCAAGAGAGCACCTTTTCCAACACCCTCTCTCCCCGCAGTGACCAGTGTATGGATGGCCCTACTGGCCTGAATCTGCTCATCCCTGCCCCGGGCCCCAGAGGCCCCACCTCATGATGGACTGGAGCC